TTTCGACGTCGATCGACGAATCATTTCTCACTGGGTAGTGCTTAATGTAACGTAATGTGTTAAGGAAAAGCTTGTGCGGTGACCCGTAAGGCTGATGGCAGACAACCATCCGTAAAGGCCAATGTCCACGATGCTAGAACTTGGTCCAAGTTCTAGCATCGTGGACATTGGGCTTAAGCGCTTACGGACTTACGTTTTTCTCTGCCTTACCTTAAGTCTACGGCTTACGTAAGTCCGTAAGCGCTTACGGATAGTTGTCTGCCATCAGTCTAAGCTATATCGCGAACTAGAAGGATTACGAATTCTAAGAATTGATTAAGAACTAGGAGACTGAGTAAAAAGAAGAGCACACAAAGTATTGTCTACGTCAGTACATATAGATTCTATATAATAGAATCATGGATAAAAGACTCATGGATTCACATGTAGAAGATAATGGTAAGATGTTAAGAAAGATACAATAAAAATATAATTACTTATCAATGTAAAATAAATATTTGTTACATATTCTATTATATATTTTCAGAATTCACGTGCAAACACTGTAGCAACACAATTGCTACATTGGATGATGTTCCTGTTCACGGTTGTTTCTTAGGAAAAGAAGTTTATATGCATAATAATATTTTATATACAGAAGTCGCCAGCAAGTCTTCTTTGCATATAGGTAAGAAATAGTACATGAAATTATATGTATGCTTAAAAATTATATATGCCAATATTTTAATTACATAATGTGTTTTTCTTTCATACAGTAAATGATATTTTACAATCTGAAGAAAGTGTTTCTCAAGACGATCAAGACACAATCCAAGATGAAGATAAAGAAAATAGTAAAAAGAAGCAAGGTAATTGAATTTAAAAAATTTTATATAATTAATTTTTATTATTTTAAAATAATTTTAATTACTAATTTATTTTTATTATTTCACAGATGCAGTATGGACGAGAAATAAAACACTTGCGCTTTTATCGTTATATGAAGCAAATGTCAATATGTTAGATAATCCTCGAAAAAAAACAAAAATTTGGGCTACAATTTCAACAGGTTTACAGGATTTTAATATTAAAGTAAGTTTTATATAAATCTTTCATACTAATTGAATGATTTACAAATCTTATATTACTATATATATATTATTATATATGTATGTACTTGTATGTGCTAGATGTCAAGCGATCAAGTCAGATGGAGAATGAATTATCTCACGAAAAAATATAAAGAATGTGTTGACAATAATTTAAAATCTGGAAGAAGTCCTAAATCCTTTGAATTCTTCGATGAAATGGAAAACATTTTTGGATGCAAAAAAGCTACTGTTGATAGTTACACAATATCAAGCAATTTACCCTTAAAGATAAGTAAAAGTTCAAGTACTAAAATGGAAATCCAATCACACACATCAAAAAAACAAAAAGTTAAAGATTTTAATTACACTCAAGTTAGTACTTCACCTATTACTTCAGTTAATACTTCACGCAGTACCTCAACTAGTTCTTTAGCTAGTATTTCAACCAATGCTTCAGCTAGTAATTTAGTTAATATTTCAGCTAATACTTCAAATATTAATAAAAATAAAGAAAATGAGTGCGCTCGTATGAAACCTACATATACAAATTCACAACTAAAAAATAAATTTGAGAATTTTTTTTTTGAATATATGCAAAAAGAAGAAAAAAGACGCGAAGAGCAGAAAATATATTAAAAACCAAAAAAGAAGCTTTAAAATTAAAAAAGTATTCTATGGAAATGCGCGAAAAAGAATTAGAAGTAAAAAAAACAATGGCAATAAATAAAATAAAATCAAAGGAGAAAAGACATGAAGAAATATTGGACATAGAAAAACTAAAGTGTAATTTATTGACAAAACTGTTAAATAATAATGACCATTTTAAGGTTGACAGTGATTCAGAATAAGCAATATTATTGTCCAATTATGAAATATTTCTCAAATTATTTTATAAGATATTTGAGTTTTGCATTCATCTTTATTTTTAGTTTATCGTGATTTAGTTTATTGCGATTTATGAATACTATATGATTATACAAGTACTCAAGACTGTTTTACATTTAGATTTTCTTTACTTTGTTCATTATTTTATTGTCATTTGATATGTATGCGTAAATACGTAAGATTGTTTTAAATTCTCATTTTCCTTTATTTTTTTACGTTATGTGATACAAATGAGTATTATTACGATATTAAGTAGAGTACTATAAATATTATAAGTATCATAAAATAATTAAAAATAAAATATAAAAAGACTTCAAGATTATATAATTTTCACAATTAAAAAAGAGGTTTAAGCATTACGTTCTACAATTTTGTGTTTACAATTTATATTTTATAATATGTTACAACATTGTCATAATATACTTATGTTATAATATGATACAAGATGTATACTTGATATAAGAAAATAAAAAAGTAATTTTGATTAAAAAACAAGATTACACATTTTGTAACTGTACATGTAACATGTTACATTATTTTAA